CCAAACAAACGAGACATTTCAACGTTACCTCTTCTTTTCGCGGAACAGGCGGCCAGGTGAATCCGTTGACACGTACGTCACTGAGCTAAAGATTTTGGCCCGATCCTGCAGTTTCTGTAAATGCATGGCGGACAGTCTCATACGGGACCGCATTGTTCTTGGGATCAATGACGAAGGTTTGACGAAGCGACTATTACGAAAGCGCAACCTATCTCTGCAGCAATGTATCGACATCTGTAACAGTGAGTCCTCCACTGCCTATCAGTTCCAGCAGATGACAATCGCAGGTGATTCAGAGTTGTGCACCGTTTCCAGGAGCAAAACTACGAAGGCCACGACCGCGCGACAGGAGCCCTGCAACTTCTGTGCAACACGACATCCGAGGAACCGCGAACAGTGTCCGGCGTGGGGCCGCATTTGTGTCAAATGTGGGAAGCGCAATCACTTCGCCCGCTGCTGTCAGTCGACAGATGTCAGTGCACTCGTTCCAGACAAATCAACAGAAGACACAGAACAATCGATTGGTAACGTGTCTCGGAAAGCGTCGCAGAAGTGTGTCTATGCAAGTCTTCTGATCGAGGGACGGTCTGTGCGATTCCAGTTAGACACAGGCGCGACGATCAATATTTTGCCCAGAAAGCACTGCCGCGGCGTACAAATTCAATCGGATCAAGATGATTTACGCATGTGGAATGGTTCCAGACTCAAGCCAAAGGGCTCGGCGACAATTGAAGTGGTCAATCCGAGAGACGGTGTTTCGCATCGTCTGCAGTTCGTGATCGTGGATGAGGATCTCACGCCGATTCTCGGCATTGATTCGATTTTATCTCTTGGCTTTGTCATTTTTAACCATGATCGTTTTGTGTACGCTTGTCAGAGTGAAGCCGATGTTAGTGACCTGTATCCGTCTGTGTTTAGCCCGGGTTTAGGGGAATTCGAGGGTACCGCTCACCTGTCGTTAGATCCTTTGGCACGCCCGATTGCGTTACCTGCTAGGAGAGTCCCATTTGCGCTACGTGACCGATTTTCCGCGGAATTGAACAAGCTGGTTATGCAGGGGGTGATTGCAAAGGTTGATGAGCCAACAGACTGGGTTAGCCAGGTCGCAATCATTACGAAGAAAAATGGCGAACTACGCGTATGTATAGACCCGAAGCCACTGAATGAGGCCCTGCGTAGAGAACATTATGCGCTACCAACGTTAGAAGATGTTTTACCACGTTTGACAAAAGCTAAGTTTTTCACGAAAGTAGATCTTTCTTCCGCATTCTGGCACGTTGTTCTAGACGACGAATCCAGTTTCCTCACCACATTTGCTACACCGTTCGGACGTTATCGTTGGCTGCGATTACCGTTTGGCCTGAAGGTGTCTAGCGAAATTTTCCAAAAGCGTTTGGTGCAAGCAATAGATGATTTAGATGGTGTAACCTGTGTGGCAGATGACGTTCTGATTTACGGTTCTACCGAAGAAGAGCATGACACGAAGCTACACCGGTTCCTGAGGCGTTGCGTGCAAAAGAACATCAAGCTAAAACGCGAGAAAGTAGAGCTGCGGAAAGAGGAGGTGATTTTCCATGGGCATGTGTTAACATCCGACGGAATCAGAGTTGACCCAGGGAAAATTAAGGCGATACAAGAGATGCCGTCCCCTAACGATGTGAAGGCAGTCCATCGCCTAAACGGTATGGTGAACTATTTAAGCCGGTTCCTACCAGGACTCGCTGATGTCATGACTCCGATTAGGCAGTTAACTCACAAAGGAGTAAATTGGAGCTGGGGGAAGGAACAGGATTTGGCTTTCGAAACCATTAAGAACCTCATCAGTAATGCGCCCGTACTCGGATATTACGATCCAGCACAACCATTGGAGGTACAGTGTGATAGTAGCCAGAGTGGAATAGGTGCTGTTCTGTTGCAGAACGGAAGACCTTTGGATTTCCGCAGTCGAGCACTCACAGAGGCCGAGAAGCGGTACGCCCAGATCGAGAAAGAGATGCTAGCAGTGGTCTATGCCATGGAGCGTTTCAATGATTATACTTTTGGAAGAAAGACAACCGTGTACACTGATCATAAGCCGCTGGTGTCGATAGCCACTAAACCACTGAATAACGTTCCTCGCCGTCTGCAGCGTATGCTTATCCGGCTCCAGAAGTATGACATTGACATTGTGTACACACCTGGCACACAGATGTTCATCGCGGACACCCTGTCGAGAGCACATCCGCCAGTGGCCGAACATCAGCTAGAAGAGATCGAGACAGTTAGCATGGTGCAGCATCTGGCAGTGACAGAAAACCGTTTGAAAGACATAAGGCGTTTCACGGAGGAAGACCAAACTTTTGCAGCTTTGCGAGACGTTATCCTCAATGGATGGCCAGAAACAAAGAAGCAGCTCCCGAAAGAATTAACACCCTACTTCAATTTTCGGGACGAACTCACTGTCTGTGACGGTCTGTTGTTCAAGGGAAGTCGAATCCTAATCCCTTCTTCTCTCCGAAAGGAGATGCTGGAGCATGTCCATCGCGCTCACCTGGGTGCAAATTACACCATTAATCGAGCAAGAGAACTGATGTTCTGGCCAGGAATGACAAGTCAGATCAAGGATCATGTGTCTAACTGTGAGGCGTGCCGTTCACACGACATTCGGCAAACGAAGGAACCGATGATGCTGCATGATGTTCCGGAGCGACCGTGGCAAAAGGTAGCAGTGGATCTATTCTGGGACAACGGAAAGGATTACTTACTCACGGTGGACTACTATAGTGATTACTTTGAAATCGATTTACTCACCACCACGACCACGGAGGCAGTAATCAACAAACTCAGATGTCAATTCGCACGGCACGGGATACCGGAGGAGCTAGTCTCGGACAACGGTCCCCAGTTCAGCAGCAGGGCATTCCAGGTTTTCGCAACCAAATGGGAATTCGCACACCGGCAAACCAGTCCCTATCACAGTCAATCAAATGGAAAGGCAGAGTCGGCAGTGAAGCAAGCCAAGCGACTATTAGCGAAGGCTAGAGACACTCGGGAGGACCCATACCTCATGCTACTAGAAAGTCGCAACACTCCTTCAACGGATATCGGCCTGAGCCCAGTGCAGCGCCTATACAGTCGAAGGACCAGAACTGTGATGCCTGCATCCGCAACACTTTTGCGCCCTGTCACGCCACAATTTGAGAAAGTACAGAACAATTTGAGAAGGCGAATGGCTACTCAGAAACGGTACTACGACAACGGCGCACGGGAATTACCTGAGCTGACAGTGGGGGAAGAAGTATGGGTTGAACCAATTCCCGATGGACAGGAGCGGTGGAGAAAAGGAGTCGTGGCTGCGAAAGTCGGTGAAAGGTCATACGAAGTAAATGTTGGAGGGAAGAAGCTGAGAAGAAACCGAGTACAGCTGAGGAGATGTCCGAGGCGACAGCATGAATCAGGGAGAGAGCGTTATACTGCGTGCGGCAATGAGGCGACATCGGCAGATCCAACAAAGAGGACGCGAAGTGGTAAAGTGTATGGACTATTTAGCAAAGTACAGCAGCAAAAGCATGAAAAAAGGGAGGATGTGATGGGAGTATACACTCGAACGAACGTGCGGTGCCAGCCCAGCAATGAAGCCGTTAGGCTGCCGCAAGCAAAGGCGGCAGCCGATTGGACATTCACACGTTTCTCGCATGCACGCTGATTGGCAAACAGCTGGACGCATTGGAGTGAGTTTGTTTGACTGAATCAAAGGAGAAATGTCATGCATCAACAAAGGTCGTTAATTATGGATCCAACTAGCTGTATATACCGATATGTTTCACTCGCCCTCTGTCTCCGTTTTCGCCTGGTCCTGTTGTTTGCAGAATATACGTTTTGTCCCTGAAGGACCGACTTTTCACAAGGATGAACGTTGCGGACAAGCGTAAACCAATGGAAATGGTGCCAGCGACATAATGCAAATATCAAATGTGAGCCAGTGGAGCGACCTCTCGCGAATAGTGTATATACTCCTTAAATATCCATGCGTAATCTTAATAAACGACTTCGTGATCGCGGCCCAGTCTCCTTGATTTACGGAGGGCTGACCAACAAAGAATAATGTATATTGCATATGGAATCTAGGCGATATACATTGTCGCTACGGGCTATCGATGTCTGTTCTATACTTAAAGTACCCATCCCACCATTTGGTTCTCTGCTATCTTCTATGTGATCACTGTTGAGGGACCCCTTTGCCTTTTTCCAACTATTGTAGTCCGCCGCCATCATTATCTTACTACCATTAGTAGCCATTACGTTGACTAGGGTCTTCTTCCGTGGCGCGTTGGGTCCGTTATTGCGATTCGAACTCCCTGGCTGTTGCGACCTCATTGCATCTGTCAATTGTGCGCGAGTATTCCCTGTCTTTGCAACGAATAGTTACATTGCGGACCTCTCGGTGTGCTAGAAGACATTTCTTCCTTTTTTATCTCAAATTTATTGATGCAGAAATTCATTTTTTTATAGTTAGAGACATTGTGACACTTTATTCTCAATTATTGCCTAACTGACAGCTGCGTTGCTGTAGCTTTCCCTAGAGTTTTCCATGAGATGTCATGCTACCACCCATTGTTTGTCATTTCGCTGGAATTTATGTGGTATTTTCTTCTCAAAGCGAAACGTTTCACGGAAATTCCACAAACGAACTAGCTTTCGGTCAGCTGCATGTTTATCCGGTGATATCGTGTTACTTTTTAATATATAAAATTCGCAACTTGCGGACTAAATTCCATTCGTCTTGAGACAGCGTTGTTATCCGATCATGTGTCAGTAACTGATATTACGCGATCATTTTTGACTTTTTGAATTGTCCTAGTGCGTCTCCCGCTGTTCCTTCCATGTCTTCAATGACTACTTAGTTTAATTTTTACTCCGTTGACTATTGCATTCCAGTATTGTTATTTTTTCACCCAATTGCACCATCGCATTCTAACGCTTTTCATTTTTCGTGAATTTCCATCCACTGGTTCTCACAGCCCACGATACTTTCGTGAAACTCTTGTCCCCGCTATGCTGAACGCACCTGAGTTGCAAGAATTATCTGAAGAATTGCGTGTGGCCCACTCACAATTGCTTCATGGCATTGAACTCCAAGGACTTGGACATCTTCTTGCTCCCTCACCACAGACGGATTCCAATGTGCCTAGAACCAAGAATAAACAAGAGTCAAATCAACGTAAACGCACTGGCAACGTCCTCAAGAAACCCAGGGTGTCCGTACCGAAGAGGCAAAAAACTACGAAGTAGTGTTCTCGGGGAACCCAGTGGTTTCGGCCCTGCTTCATCGGGACCATACATTCTCGTTGACGCATTCGTGATCAGCCACTTTTTGCATTTCTTCACTTACCGCCTATTTTCCCTGTTCAAACATCTGGATTCCACGTTGCATCATTTGAAACAATGTCCGCTTTCCATTCCTAGAGTGTCTTCACTCCTTTCCCAACACGATTGCGGTTTTTCGAATACATTTGAGCATAATTGCGGAGAACACTTGCCCACGCCTATACCCTGCATGCCTCTTCCTTGCTCTACACTCACTGACTTTACGTTTCACGATCGCTGCGTTCCAGAACCAACCTTTATCTAGCACAGCCCCACAGTATGGTAAACATGTTGTAGCGAAAGCGTTTATTACAAAGCAAATTTGTTTACAAACAACCTACAAGGGTACCGGAAACTTTAGGGCTTGATCAGTGAGACATTGGTATCTTGTAACAGATTGCCTTCGAAAACATAACGGAGAAGTTTTGATATGGGCCAGACAAGTATAATCCAGATAGAGATATATCGAATGTAGAACCATTTCGCTTGATGTACAGCTGGCGTCTCATAGCTGTCACCGAGTTGAGAAAAATGGCATTTAAGCCCGGTCGATAACACATCGCTAGATAATTTTTCATGAGGCAGGACTGAGCGCAGCATAACATAGTGGGTAGATTCCTCGGGTTTTTGGTTCAGCCAGGAAACAGGCGTTAGACACCGTGGCCATATTTGATTCCGAGTGCTATCCTTGTTGCATGTGTGTAAGCGATTGGTCGAGCCCACTACACATTTTCTCAGCCGACTGCATCCATAATACAATCGAATTGTCCCTTCAGGAACTCATGTTTCTCCGTACTCAATCAACTTACTTCATAGGGCAGTCACATTACATCCAGAGTTTGTGCGTACGCACTCAGGCACGTACTGTCCCTAAGGCGATCGATCCCTAGTCATCCAACAGCATCGCGGATGTTTATGCATTGTGAAGTGCTAATGTGTCTGGAATCCTAACTCATCTGTAAAATCATAGCGTGCGTGCAGACCATTGCGCTTTAGGGAGTGCCTACACCTCTTTTTAGTCAATTATAACCATAATACAGTCGATTTGCTTTCTAAGTAATTAATTTTCATCCGTAAAGTTACCCAAGTTAGTTCACAAAGCAGTCAAATTGCACCTAGTGATGTGTGAAAATGCACATAGATACGTACTGTTCGTTGTAACCAATCCCAAGTCAGCGAACAGCATATCGGACAAGTATACACTATGAGATGCCAGCATGGCAGTTGAATCCAGTTCTCCCCCCCCCCCTTGCGGTGCAGAGCAATCACGGTTTGAGAAGTGGTTAGCACAGGTAGGTAAAAGTGAGGCTAGGCCCATAGAGGTTAGCAGACACCCACGTGGTCGAACTCTGGTGGGCAGCAGTTATGTATCTCTACACCAGTGGTTCACAACCTGGGGGTATTTACCCACGAACGGGGTAAACTGGAATTTTACAAGAGGTAAACATAAATACGAGGATTGGGTCATAAATCTGCTGCTAAACAAAATTAATGGCAAAACTATCTGTAACAAAAAGTTTAATTAACCACCAAATCGCTATTGATTAACCGTCGGTGAGTACTCATTAATGGGTGGGCAATGGATTAGACAATATTCGGTACTAAATTTTACAACCTAAACAAAAGCTTGCAAAGCACCGCAGCTAGATGGCCGCTCTATCGGCTCGCCCGTCGACCGTTATCCTTTTGAGTCAGGCCGTCGTTCGCCAGGTCGAATTACAGCGTTGTGTGAACACTAAGATGGGAGCCTAGGTCAGCCGACCAGGCAAAGGAGCGAACGAATGTTTACAAGGTAGAAGAGACAAAACACGTGATTAGTGTTCAGGATGTATCGATACAAAGTGGTGGTGGGAAGCTGTCATCCACGAAGGACTTTGTAGGGATGGCTGAAAGAAATGAGAGGCGACCGACATGTGATCATATTTGATCAGGAATCCCACACAAAAACAAGGAATCAGATGAACTTGGCACATGACTTACAATGTGCATAAACCGAAACCGCATCAAATATACCAGAAATGGTTAGAACTAGGCAACATCAACCGTACAGTACCCCTTGATTATTTAACAATTGCTCAAAGTAGGTGTTTTCCTTATTTGAATGATCGAGAGCAACCAAAAATGGTATTTATTTTCCGTAATAAAAAGCAAAAAAATGTAATATTCAATTAGCTTTTTGAACTAAGCTTTGGGGGTAATTAGTTTTATAGTGAAAGCGCTTTAGGGGTAACAGCCTCAAAAAGGTTGCGAATCACTGCTCTACGAGATCCTCAGCTATTCGCTTGTGTGCAGTGTGTTCATGCACGCAAATACTGCTTCGCGGCGAGACAGGATACACACAGGTTAGGAGTCAAGACGAACGCATACGCAGGACGGAACGTGCAGGACACGGAATCAACACAGAAATGTAACGGTATCTGGAGTAAGGTGGCACGATCACACCCGCTGTGAATGAAGCCAAAACGGTCTCACAAAGACGGCATGCGGAATTAGATGAGATAGATGTCCTGCTGAAGGGAGGGAACCGGTAAAGCACGAAGGACCAGAGTGAACAATGTCGAGTTGATATTCCCGGGGCGTGCCCCGAAATAGGTCGGTTAGTTACCTCATTTTGACGCTGTCTCGGGAAATTTCGATCAGAGTAGGTCCCATGGTGAGAGCATTTCGAGACTGTGCCTCTGGGGTTAGCACACGATAGTGCTCTCCGAGCACGTAAGCCCACAAGGGTTGGGGTGGTGGATCGTTTCACCTTTTCAGAGTGTGAGGTTAAATTCCAGGCTAACCAATCAGGTCATTTTGTGCTACTGTCTTTTGTTCCCTTGACCGATCGTCATATTTCATTACCATCCAAGAAAAGTAAATTGTAACGAATACTTTCGTAAACGCTTTAGGAACGAATAACGCACGCTTCAAGCAATGCTTCTCGCTGTACCGTATACTTATGCCAAGTCTACTGCAGCAGGAATCTTCGATCTTCCCCTACTTTACTTATAGGCGCAGTTCAAGCCACCGTTCTGTCGCTGATTCAAATTGTTATATACGTAGGGGAAAGAACGATCTCATGCACAACGGAATGTCTAGTTTTCTCAACTTAACCTTTTGTTTGATCCGATGGTTGTGACATTTGATACTGCATGTCTTGTTGCTGGTTGTATTACACTTGTTGATTAGGTGACAGGTGGGGAGTCGCATACATCCGTTGCTACAGAGCAGACTACCATGCACAGAAAGTGACGGGTTATCGATTTCTAGTTAAAGCGAACTATTATGGCTGGTTCGAAATTTCGTAGAAACTAGAAGTCACGATCAGAGTGCACGCGATAATCTGCCTCGACGGGGAATCGAACCCCGGACCCACGAACTACCGGTCTGCCGCTCTACCACTGAGTCACCAAGAGATGACGACCAGGTGCGCAATTTAATGCATGACTTCTGCTTTGAGCGCGACGTATTGCCAAATAGCTCACAGTATCTGTCCTGGTGTTGCAGATTGGCTCACTCACTCGTCACTTCCCAATGGACCGAAGTATCTGTCCTTCTGATGTCCAAAGGGCGATGGTAGATTACTTGTGGATGTTTGTGAGTAGTGTAATGTTCGTAGTAGTTCGAAATTGCATGATCCGGTAATACATCGTGGCGGACGACCGGTTGAGGCGAGACGCGCAGAGACAACGCTTCGGACGTTCACTACTAAACTACTTCGGGACGCGAAATAGCTGTTTGCTGCATAGTACCAAACATATCGCAAGGCCGTTCGCTGTGGCGCATATATATATATATATATATATATATATATATATATATATATATATATATATATAACACTTGCCCAATAAACATTTGGCTGGGGTGCCACAACACATGAGTAACCGCAGCAAAAAGGAGCAAGTGAGTCACCTGAGTGGATGCAACGTTGCATGTGTTGTGTGGGCATTGAGCTTCCCAGTTGCCCAAACCGAGGAAGAGGGTTGACTTATGGGACCCCACCCCGAGCCTTTGGTCTTAAAGGCCTGACCCCCAAGGCAGCGGGGGAGTACGTTGTACCCATATAGGTGATGTATCCCGAGTTGTCCATTAATAACACCTACGCTAGTGGTACAGCGTTCGCAAGAACAGGAAACGCTCATTCAACCTAGCCAGAGGCCATCGCAATCACCTACACATTAGACATCACTGGAATGCAAACAGATGAAAGCCATTGCAGTGGCGCACCTGCATTATAAAGCTGGGTTGCAGAGGACACTTTGTTTATTTTGGCTGTACATAAGCTCTTTTCTCCTCAAACTTAATGAGTCCACCATCTAACATCCACACTAAGGCCGCTACAAGGACGGCTAAATTTCGGTCACAGTGCATAGGCTGAGACGTTAATCGACACGCTAGAGCGCAATCAGGGTATTTCAGGCGCTATATCTGCCTCGTCGGTTATTTCGACGATGTGCATCAGTTTATACGTGACTTAAGCTGTGTAATCGAATTCATGCTTTAATACACCGTTCGCATTGCGCGCAGTAACATTATCACCTGTGTCCACGGTACGCGGCCCCCGCTACACGATACATATAGTTTAAATATAGTTATCTTCCTCTCCAGTTGCATCTATACCAGAGGAACCGTTACCAATACGAGATTTAATCGATTGAAGCAAAAAATTAGATTGGGCAAATCATAGACATCCTGTTGCATGAGCTATCATCCTCTTCCTTACCTAATAACTCAATTCCGAGATCAGACGGTAGCTTAAACTCTAAGCAAGGGAGGAAGAGATTGAGGATTCCTTTTCCACCAGCTTTGACATTATTGCATGGCACAGCAAGACGTAATGCTTAACGTGTGTCATTCCGTTCTAAAGTACTTTACGAGAGTTCATTTGAAATCGTCTAGTTTTCTTAGACGGTAATGAGATATGACGACCAGTCAAGCGACCGTAAGGCAGCAACTAAAAACGACCGTCTGATGGATTAGTCCAGAATATACAATCATACACCACAGAAAAGTAAAACGATCTACCACCCATCAGCTCTTTTGAGCACATATGCTCCGAAAGTAAACCTGCTGGTCTGCTGACCTCAGAGGCGCGGTCCCTGCCATGGGACTTCGATGGAAGTAGCTTGAGGCGGTATCCATATAAGGAAGCCAAGGAGATTAATTCAGAACGCGCCCCGGGAATATCAACTCCACATGGTTCACTCTGTGCCCTCGTGCATTACCTGTTCAATCGCTTCAGAAGGACATCTCCTCTGCTACTGCATGCCCTCATTATGAGTCGGTATTGGTTTCATTCACAAAGGGCATGGCTGTGCCAAATTACCCCGGGCACCACTTATTACAATTAAGAACACAAAGTTGCGAAGGGCACAGTTTTCCAACAACCTCATCAGAGGTTTCAAGTATACAATGGGAAGAGGAAACAGGATAGGCTGCTGAAGCGAGGCAGTAATTGACGAACACAGAAAGAGGTAGAAAATGATTTGACTTAATCGATAAATTGGTCGATCTACTCAGACAGCAGTGACCACAGTAAACGTCAGCTGGCACACACATACACACGCACACTGTTATCCACGAGAGGTAACACATGTTCTTCGACTGCTTGGGTGACTCACACATCACCCGGCCCCTGTCAGCATGTTGAGTCAAAGCTATCTGGAAGTACGTTAACCCCAGAGTAGAAGGAGTGCTTGAACAAGCGCCTTCTGTTTGCATAACACGGGTTGTGCTATCCTGGTTGCAATAACTTCGGCTGGCCGTAACAACCAGTTCCTAAGCTCTTTTGGGTAACGTTTTGACAGGACAGAAAATACTTTGAAAGCATCGGCAATCCTAATTTGCTGTCCACGTTCGACCACATATTCTAGCATGCATGTGACCGTACGTTTCTGCAATGTTGTGAGACAGTGCTCCGCTACCCGTTTAGACAGACGCCCAGTTGTATGTCCTATGTACCTCACACCACAGATATAACTAAATTGATATAGAATGTAAAATTCTGACTAGACCCGGGAGTCTGTCTTTAAGACGTTGGGCAACAAAAGTCGCGGTTTCGGCAATGATGTGTGGATAGACAGCTGGGAAGGTTCGAGTTATTGCAGTGAACACTCTTCTGTTCAGCAAATCGAATACAATATCTCCCTTAAATGGAACTTAGAGAAATATCTTCGTTTCAGAACAGTTGCAATCATTTTACGACGTTCGTGAACCACTGAGTGCTTTCGGATGAAAGGGGCTGGGTAACCGTTTTCTTGCAGCGTTTGGAGTATGCGGTTCTTTTCGGCTTCCAATGTCTGGGCCGCAAATTTTGGTAGCGCGGAGGTATAATCAACGTACAAGATTCCGTTTGTATTTAAAAGGCACAAAACGGGGAAAGTGCGTGTATTGACCAACCCACGTCAGTTGACGAAGCCCACCTCATTTTATAGGTCCACATTCAAGCATAGCGAGGAAAATGGCAGCAAGAAACGGTCCCAGGGGAGACCCAATCGCGACTCTGTCGATCTGTCTGTAATAGATTCCATCAAATAGAAATTGTCGGTTGAAGGTGCATCGCAAGCTTAATTCCTTCAGTTTCTGCACCGGAATGCCCACATATATGCTCTTTTTGTTTGAGTAATCACA